AAAATTTTACTTGAGATATATAAATTTCCAATATAATTTTCTTAAAAACTATTACACCTAGATGTATGGTTTATTCTGAGATATATAGTAAATTTTGATGTAGAATATTTCTTCCTTTAATACTTTCCCCAAAAAGTGAAGTATTAATGGAAAGTTTGCCATAAAATGGAAACCTGTTTAATTTGGCAGTTAAAAATGGAAACACATAATTTATACTTATAATATCCATATTTCGAATGGAATTTTCATAGAAACTATTACACCTAGATATATGGTTTGTTCTGAGATTTATAATAAAATTTGGTGTAGAATATTTTTTCCTTTAATACTTTTCCCAAAATATGAATTATTAAGGGAGATTTCGGCGTAGAATTGAAACCTGTTAAATTGGCCGTAGAAAAAGGGAAACACATAATTTTCGCTTTTAATACATAAATTTCGAGTGTAATTTTCTTAAAAACTATTGCACCTAGATGTATGCTTTATTCCGAGATTTATAGTGAAATTTGGTGTAGAATATTTTGCACCTTAATACTTTCCCCAAAAAATTAAGTTTTAAGGGTGATTTTGGCATAAAATTGAAACCGGTTAAATTGGCAGTAAACAATGGAAACACATAATTCTCATATATAATATGCATATTTTGAGTGTTATTTTCTTAAAAACTATTACAGCTAGATGTATAATTTATTTTGAGATTTATAGTAAAATTTTATGTAGAATATATCTTCTTTTAATACTTTCCCCAAAAAGTGAAGTTTTAAGGGTGATTTTGGCATTGAAATGAATGCTGTTTTATTGTCCGCAAAAAATGAAAATACATAATTTTTTCTTTTAAAACATAATTTTCGAGTGTAATTTTCTTAAAAAACTATTGTACTTAGATGTATGGTTTATTCGGAGATTTATAGTGAAATTTGGTGTAGAATATTTCGCCCCTTAATACTTTCCCCATAAAATGAAGTATTAATGGAGATTTTGGCATAGAATTGAAACCTGTTTAACTTTCAGTAAAAAATGGAAGCACATAATTTTCGCTTTTAAAATATAAATTTCGAGTGTAATTTTCTTTAAAACCTTTACACCTAGATGTATGGTTTATTCTGAGATTTATAGTGAAATTTTGCTTAAAATAAATCTTTCTTTAATACTTTCCCCAAAACATCAATTATCAAGGGAGATTTCGGCATAGAATGGAAACCTGTTAAATTGGCGTAAAAAAATGGCAATACATAGTTTGTCGCTTTTAATATATAAAATCGAATGTAATTTTCTTAAAAACTGTTACACCTAGATGTATGGTTTATTCGGATATTTATAGTGAAATTTTGTGTAGAATATTTCTGCCCTCAATACTTTCCCCATAAAATTAAGTATAATTGGAGATTTTGGTACAAAATGGAAAATGACTGTAAAAATGGGTTTCGCTTTAATATATAAATTTCGAATGCAATTTTCTCCAAAACTATTATACTTAGATATATGGTTTATTCTGAGATTTGTAGTAAAATTTGGTGTAGAATATTTTTTCCTTTGATTTGTTCCCCATAAAATGAAGTATAAATGGAGATTTTAGCATTAAATAAAAATTGGCATTAAAAAATTGAACAACATAATTTTTGCTTTTAATACATAATTTTCGAGTGTAATTTTCTTAAAAACTATTACACCTCGATGTATAGTTTATTTTGAGATTTATAGTGGAATTTGGTGCAGAATATGTCTTTCTTTAATACTTTTCCCATAAAATGAAGAATTCATTGAGAGTTTTTGGCATAAAATGAAAAATGGCTGTAAAAATGGTTTCGCTTTAATATATATATTTCGAATGCAATTTTCTCCAAACCTATTATACTTAGATGTATGGTTTGTTCTGAGATCTATAGTGAAATTTGATTTAGAATATATATTCCTTTGACACTTTGTCCAAAAAATGAAATATTAAAGCAGATTTTGGCATAGAAATTAACCCTGTTAAATTGGCAATAAAATGTCACCATATATTTTTCACCTTTAATATATACATTTCGAATGTAATTTTCTTAAAAACTATTACACCTAGATGTATAGTTCATTTTGAGATTTATAGTGAAATTTGGTGCAGAATAATTTCTCCTTTAACACTTTGTGACTAAAACCAAATTTTATGCTACTTTCATGCATCAACTCGTAAAAGGCCGAGAAAAAAAATAATCAAAAAAATTAGGAAATATTTACGCGATTTTTCTGGCAACATTGATGTATTAATTTTCTTGATATATAATCCAAATAGCGATTTCTTTTCTGTGGTGACTTATAGTAAAATTTCTTGTAGAATATTTCCTTCTTTAATACTTCGCCCAAATAGTGAAGTTTTAAGGGTGATTATGGCATTGAAATGAAACCTGTTTAATAGTCCGTAAAAAATGGAAACACATAATTTTTGCTTATAATATTCATATTTCCAGTGTAATTTTGTTAAAAACTATTATACCTAGATGTATGGTTTATTCGGAGAATTGTAGTGAAATTTGGTGCAGAATATTTCTTTCTTAAATACTTTCCACAAAAAATTAAATATTAAGGGAGATTTTTGCATAAAATGAAAAGTGGCTGCAAAAATGGCTTTTGCTATAATATATAAATTTCGAATGCAATTTTCTCCAAACCTATTATACTTAGATATATGGTTTATTCTGAAATGTATGGTGAAATTTGATGTAGAATATATCTTCCTTTAATACTTTCCCTAAAAAATGAAGTTTTAAGTGTGATTTTGGCGTAGAATGAAAACCTATTAAATTGGCAGTTAGAAATGAAAACACATACAGGATGAGATGAAAAAAATGCAAACAGCGTCAGACTGCTGTCATTACTAAGCCCCTCGTCCGACAGCTGTTAAAATTATTCCAGTGACGGCTGGCAGATAATTTTATTGGCTGCTTGCTATAATGTTATAATGGTTACAAGAAATATGTGAGAGCGCCATCTATGTGTGCATAGTATTAGCAATGACATATTTTATTGAATTTTCTATGTGACTGTAGAGTACAGTACAATCGACAGATGGCGATGTCAAAGAGACTTCTCTGCATTTGGCCCAGTCACATATATTCCTTGCTCCCTCTATGAGTTAATGTTAACCAATCGATAACACAATTAATCGATTACAACATTAACTTAGTTGTAGGGTTCACAAAACTGATTTACAATAAACCGTTGAATATTTTAAATAACAGATCGTTTTCTTTTCCAATTGAAAATGCTTAAGGATTTTCTTTCTAGAAAAATATTAATGGAAAGGTAATAATTATAATAATTGTGATAATATCAATAATTTACCTTTAACTGTCGAAGTGAAATTTTTGGACGTTTTTTTTGTGACGTGTTGGTAAATTTTACTCCACTTAATTTTGATAATATTTTGTAATAATTATTTGTTTTATAAGTATATACTTGAACATAAAACTTCAAACTTTTAATACCCTCCACCTTAGGGTAAAGGAAGCATTAGAGCCCATTATGACCCACATATACCAACTTTTAGAACAATTCATGGAAAAATGTGCCAAAATTCATCAAAATACCGAATAACGGGAATTACGGCTATATGGGGTTACACAAACACAGTGTTTCGCCAAAGGAGCTAGAACCCATTATGACCTGCAACTACCAATTTTCAGAAAAAATCGTGAAAAAATGTGTCAAAAATCATCAAAATACCAAATATCGGGAGGTACCGTTATACCAAAATATAAACGGGACTATACCAAAACTTGGACCTATACATACAATGTTTCGCAACACGAACTAGGGCCCATTATGACCAACAAATACCAATTTTTAAACAAATCAGTGAAAAAATGTGACAAAACCATCAAAATACCGAATATCGGGAGGTACCGTTACATCGCCACCGGAGCTGGAACCCATTGTGACAAACAAATACCAATTTTTAGACAAATCCCTGAAAAAATGTGGCAAAAATAATCAAAATACCGAATATCGGGAGGTACCTTTATATGGGGGCTATACCCAAGCGTGGACCTATACATGCAATGTCTCGCCACACGAACTGGGACCCGTTATGACCTACAAATACCAATTTTCAGACAAATCCGTGAAAAAATGTGGCATAAATCATCAAAATACCGAATATTGGGAGGTACCGTTATATGGGGACTATACCAAAACGTGGACCGATATATCTCCTTTTCAATACCAACCATCCTAGACACAATAGAAATTGCTCTACTAAATTTTGGCGCTCTACGTCAAATAATGTGGCCTTTATCGTGATTTCAACAGACAGACGGATAGACAGACAGACGAATAGACAGACAGACGGATAGACAGACAGACGGATAGACAGCCAGACAGATAGACAGACGGACATCGTTAAATCGACTTAGAATTTTAGGCTGATTATGAATATATATATTTTACGGGGTCTACGACGAATACTTAAGGATGTTACAAACGGAATGACAAAGTTAATATACTCTCCTTTCCAAGGTGGAGGGTATAAAAATATGTAAAATATGGTAAAAAAAATAAGCAGGAGTCGACTAAACTTTACATTCCAACATATTGTCTGCTACGAATCTGTAAAAAAATAGAATCTGTAGAAAAATAGAAATAAAGAATCGTTCATCTAAACTAAAATTAAATCCCAATTTTATCTTAAACTAATTTATCCCCACTGATACATATATAATTTTATTAATTCATTTTTTTAATTTAATTGCACATTTTTATTCCTCCCTTTATATCTGTATTTAATTATTAATGTATTTATTCATTTTTTTCTACTTCTTTTTATTTTGTTACATATTTTCACTTAAATTCCAAGCATTCTTATTTCAACGCCTCAAATGTCACACCAAATAATTCGCCATGTGGCCCATCCACATAAAAAATCATAAAACGATTTTTAGAACCCTAACAAGGCAGACACAAAAACACATGCCATCTTGTTGTTTTTGTTGTTTTCAATTCTATGAGAAAAAAATATGATCGGCTTTTGTCTGTCGCTGTCGGTAGAATAACAATGACACAAAGTGAAGCGGATGGTTAACGTTAAAGTGCATTTAAAAATAAATATAAATTTAATCAAATATCAAAATAAAAGCATAGAATTTATTGCAAAGAAAAATAGTGATTTTTTTATTTTCATTTAATGTTTTCAATTCTTGCAAAAAGTGCGATATAAAAGTGAAAAATAAAATCCAGCAAGTGGCCTGGCAAAAAAAAAATAATACAGACGAGAAAGGAATTTATTGCTCTTTCTCTTTTTTCCCGTGGTATTTGTTGTTGTCGGTGGGGTACAAGGTAAAATTGTCTCGCCTCCTCGGTAAGGGAAAAAAAATAAAATAAGAAAAACAACTCTCAAAGAGGTCGTGTGCTCAGCCAACGTCTCTGCCAACGGAGCAGTTGACATCGTAAACTCCACACTCTAAAATGAGAGAGGTTAATGCGTGTGGTTGTTGTTGTTTTCGTGCACGGCATCATTGCGTGTTGCGTTGACGTTCGGCACCCATCATCGTTGTTGTCGTCGTCGTCGCCGTTGCGTGTGTGTCGCTGCCTTCTTAATGTGTTGTGCGTGAGTGCGTGCCTAAGAAAACGAAGAAGAAAATCGAAATGCATGCCAAGATGATATTGTTGTTGTTCTTGTGTGTTTTGTTTCAAATAACCAACGGCAACGAAAGTGTTATGGCCTGAGCCAGTGTGTGTGCGTGTTTTTATGGGTGAGAAAATAAAAAACAAAAGTGAAATGAGAACAGCACCCACCGTGCCGACCGAACGACCAACCGGCAACCACAATAATAACAACAGCAACAACAGATAATTGTGAAAAACGGTAAAAGTTAAGTGTTGTTTACAAAATAAAATACCCATTGTCAAAGTGTGTGCCTGCCTTATTTTCTCATTGGTGGTCAAATGAGAAGAGAAAAAAGTAAAAAAAAACAAAAATCAAATAAAAACCAAAGCGAAAATCAACATCAGCGGCCGCATTATTCGTTCCACAAAGAAAAACAAACAAGATTGTGTGTGTGCGTGCGTTCAAGTACATGAAAACAAGCTAAAATACCTTCACCGAATTCTCGGCTTGTTTTTTTTGTGTAAATTTTCAATTTTTCTGGGGAAGGCCACAGAGCGCCAAAGCAGTCGGCGGCGCTGTCAGACATCAACAACGGGAGCCTCGCTAAAAACAAACCAGTTAAGCAAAACTCTCCACGACAGAAATCAACAGAAAAAACAAGTTAATGTGAGTTTTGTGCGGCCGGCGAGCGTTGTAACCAAATCACAACAACAACAATTAAGCAAGAAAAATAATAACAACAACAACAAAATTGCCACTCAGATTTGCTGAGCAGACAGCAGTGCAATTAACCGGAAATAACAAACAAATGATGTGTTATAACAACGAAAACAACAACAACGACGACGACGGCTACAGCCACAACGTAAATAAATAATGCCAACAAAGTGAAATGAAAATGTCAATGACGTTTGACGTCGTCGCCGTTCAACAACAACAGCTATGACTACATCACCATCATCCGTCGCAAACATTTCTACATTTGGATAAAAAAAGCAGTAAGTTTTTTGTTTTTTTTTTCTTTAAATTTCCATACACGCAAAAGCTTTATTTTTGTTTGTTTGTTTCTTTGAGTGTTTGTTTGTCGCCGGTGGGCGGTCAGGCGGCGGGCGAGGGGGTTGGGCCTTTACGGGGCTCTCAAGAGCTGGGAGTTTGAAGAGTAGCTAATTATGTTTGTACAAATATTTTAATTAGTTAAATGCGTAAATATCTGGTTTGGCGCTGTTTGAAATGCTCATGCTTTGCGTGTGTGTGTGAGTTGTGGTGCGTCCGTATGTCCGTCCGTCAGTCTGTGTTCATTGCCTTATTGGGGAGTGTTGTTGTTTTTTTCTTGTTAATTTTTTTGTTTTTTTTTTTGCTTTTTGTTGTTTTCGTTCTGAAATGAAAATAATGATGACTCGTTAGAATTGTAAACACCGAAGAGATTAACATTTCGAGATTATGGAATATTTATTTATTTATCTCTCTCGCTTTAGGGTCTTAAATGCGCGAAATACGCCTTCTCCATCTGTTTACAAGTAATTGAATGAAGAAAACATTTCGTTCAGTTCAGTTGAAAGGGGATTTCATCAGAAATTGAAATGGGAATATGGAAGGCCTTGAGACCAACGATCATACATAGATAAAAGATCCTCCAAAGATTTTTCAAAGATAAAATAACTGTCGAAGAAATTTTCAGAGGCGAGGTATCTTTACCCTGATTCCGGGAAAGTTTTTTTTTTTTCATAGGACCTGAAAAATTATACGGGTATATTTGGTTAGCGTAGCAGGAGTTGAACATAACCAGAAAAGAAAATCTCAAGCTCCAGCGAAAGGCTAAACAACATCAAAACAAGTTAAAAAGTTTCGGTCGGTTTTGCCGACAGATGTATTAACTCAGCCAATGTTCGATTATTTTAAAATCTTTTGACTTCTGGTGTGATTGATCAAATGTTTAAACCTTTATGCAGTTGGTTCCGAAGGAATTGGCCAATATTAGCCACTTCTTGTCGGACCTAAATAAATATGATATAAATATTGCGACGTGCTAAGTTTGGACTGTGTTGTGTTAATTTAAATTTTGGGATGTACCAAGTCATGAATAGAATCGGATGTCATTTTCGCTTTTTATGAGCTTCATAGATTTTCAAAATTTTGAGCCTTTGTGGGGGAGGTACCAGAATGAGTGGACCGATATATTACATCTTCACAACGGATCTTTTGTTAGTGGAAATAATGGGATGTATTAAATATAAAGAGAACCAGATTTCGGGTTTTATAAATGTTTTGGTTATTCCAAACTTTGAACTCTTGTGAGGAGATACCAGAAGGAGTGGACTGATATCTTCCATCTTAACACCAGATCTTGGATTTAGGAAAATATTGGAATGTGTGAAACTTTAAGACAGTCGGATTCTAACACCACATTATAATTATTCAAAATGTTTACCCTTTGTGGGGGAGGTACTTGATAGACTGGACAAATAATATCCATTTTTATACCAGACCTAGAACTGACGAAAATATTAGGATTTGCAAAGTTGGAGCAAACCCGGATTATTAGTACTCTTTCTGTGCAGAAAATAATTTTTGTTTTTTTTTTTTCTTTGAAAAATTTGACCTTGTATGGGGGAGGTACCAGAAGGAGTGGACCGATATTGTCCATCTTAACACCAGACCTTGGGTTAATACAAATATTGGGATGTGTGAAATTTGAAGATAATCGGGCTCTTACATCAAAATTTTGACCATTTGTGGGGGAGGTACTTGATGGAGTGGACCGATGTTGTCCATTTTCACACCTAACCTAGCATGGACGCAAATATTAGTATATGCAAAGTTGGAACAAAATCAGATATTCCTTTCTCTTTCTGTGCAAAAAAATATTTTTTTGAAAATTTCGACCTTTTGTGGGGGAGGTACCAGAGGGAGTGGACCGATATATTCTATCTTAACACCAGACCTTGGGTTAATATAAATATTGAGGTGTGTGAAATTTGAAGACAATCGGACTCTTACATCACATTTTATGAGAGTTGCAATTATTCAAAATTTTGACCATTTGTGGGGGAGGTACTTGATGGAGTGAACCGATATTGTCCATTTTCACACCTAACCTAGCACGGACTCAAATATTGGCATATGCAAAGTTGGAGCAAAATCGGATTATCCTTTCTCTTTCTGTGCAACAAATTATTTTCTTTGAAAATTTTGAAATTTTGTGTGGGAGGTACCAGAAGGAGTGGAGCGATATTGCCCATCTCCGAACTCGGTCTAAGTTTGACAAAAATATTACGATGTACCAAGTTTGGATCAAATCGGATACTCCCTTCGAGAGTTATCGTGCGCACCAGCCAGCCAGACAGACAGACAGACAGACAGACGGACGGACGGACGGACATCGGTAGATCGACTCCAAATGTTCTGAAACGGATTTGGTCCAAAGAGACCTAGGGTCTAAAACCGTTATTTCGACTAGGCACGTTTTGACCGTATCAAATGATATATACCCTCTGTAGCCATATGGCTGAGGGTATAATTAGATAAACCTTGGTTCGATGTACTGACCAGAGTTCAGAGACCCATATCTCAGGATCCAGGAGCGATGAAAAATATTGTAGCGTTTTGGAAAGGTAATAGTGTCAGCTATAATTAGATCAGCTATAATTTGGTATAAATTTCGAGAACTTCCAAAATGGGGCCCTTGTCGACTTTAGGGGCAATTTAAAAAAAAAATTAAATAGCGCCTTCATGTGACCACTTGTTGGATAGGCTATCATGAGCTTTCAAATGATAAATTATCCATATCGGTCTTGTAGATCCGGGTCAAATATCCGAATCCCTCCCCTAAGAAAACATAATTTTCCAAAAACTGTGTTTAGAGGCATAAACAACATAGGCATTCCCAACATATCCTATAAAGATACATTCCTTTTTATGATTTCAATAAGTAGGAGACTTTGCAATTCTGCCAAATTTGGAGCCATCTAAAAATTCATCTATACACATAAAGATATAAGACTTTGAAATATCTTCTCTACGAAAACCTAGAAAAAAAAATTCAATTGATTAAAAAGTCTTCCCGACTTTCTCCAGTGGAAGAATTTTTTTCTTACGGTATTCCTCGCCGAGAAAAGCCAATGAGATCTGTTGTCCATAGAAGTCTTATTGGCATTCTGAGCGAAAATCTCCTCCTGACTATCTTCTGTCCAAGAGGACGTTCTGTGGTACCTCTATGCAAGATTGTCTTCTAACAGACTTTTGAAAATAATACATTTTGCTGGATTCTGTTCCAGAGGGGCCAACTAGAGCACATATTAACACGATATGACCAATTGAAGATTTAACAAAAGATTGCTCTCAAAATCTTTCAGAATTAAAAAAAAAACTTCTGAGGGTTTTCTTTTTCTAAAGAAGTCTTCCTGTGCCAAAAATACATTTTCACGGAACTGTGTTAAGAGAAAGCACCTTGAAAGTTTTCGGTATAAAGAGGCACCAAAAAGAGGCACCCTGGCTTTTTCTACGGAGAGAAGAGCTCTTCTAGCTTCCGTACAGATAAAACCTGTTTGAAATCTTTTGTACAGAAAAAAGTTCTGGAGGTCTTCTGTGCAGAGATTACCTTCATAAAGTCTTGTTTACAGATATGACAATTTGAACTTTACAGAAAGGGCTTAAAAAAGTAGTATCTGCTGGAAATACTTTTTGACGGTTTCTGTACATAAAAAGCTTCTTAAGGTCTTCTCTGTAGGTTTTCTGAACCTTCCCCCAATATGATACCAAGATGAAGGATTTTTGCGTATGAATATTATCAAAACGTATACGTCACTGGCTACGTTGAGTGCTATAATGCGTATGATTATTGTCAGAATGTATACGTCATTGGGCATATGATTAGAAATCGCTATTAGATGATAATAAAACATGTTTTTATTGTGTACATATGTTTTCCTTATCAGAAATTCTTTTACATATCTTGTGCGTGTGAAGTTCTTAGGAGAGAAATACACTTTCATCTTTTTTATAGAAGGGATAAGGAAGACATAATGCCACTGAAATTCCATTTTAGGTCCTTGGTATTGAAAATCTGATTATGTAGGTCTTTGTTACATACCCCATATAATTGATACGTGTTATCACAAAAATTTCCCGGAATTTGCTGTAAATTGACAGTGGGTTTCCAGCATGTAGGAAACATCCTTGTACCTCGATCTTCAGATTATGATGATTTGATTACTTATGTCAAATTTTTCGAAGAAATTGTTTAAATGTTGGCAATTAAAGTTCGTATTCGGTACCCCTTCTTATGACCGAAATTTGCCTATACAGATCCCGATTTTTGCGTAGCCCCTAAGGAAAACCCGCTATTTCCTTATGCTTGGTATTTTGATGATTTGAGCGACATTGTTCAATGGAATTATTTCAAAGTTTTTTTTTTTTTCAAAATTGGTATTTGAAGTTCATATTTGATACCTCGTATATTAGGTTAGGATAATTGAAATTGTAATTTGTAATTACTGCGCAAAAAAAAAATGAAGGAGATATAGAAATTGAAAGAGATGATAGATCTTTTTTAGAGAATAGATAGATAGCATACAATTCTTCTCTTCCTAATCCTCTCTCAGCCTTCAGTATTCAATATATTTCGATCCTGCTGTATTTTATCCCATTTCAACGTTCTTGATCCGATGCTCTGTGAAAATGACAAAGAGAGGGTCTTAACTTGTCGCCGACTTGACTGGAGCCCATCTTTGCAAATTCATCGGCATCTTGTGTCCTTCAATATTACATTGACCAGGTACCCAGCAATGTCGAGTAATAGTTTTTGGGTTTCCCAGAGCCGTTCTTAACCTCAGGACTTCATCGCGGTTGTGTGGAAAATGCAATTGCTTTGAGAAACGCTTGACTATCCACATAAATAGTGACCGGTTCAGTTCCTTCATTCTCCATAATTTTAGTCACTTTTGGCGCTTTCATGACAGCAAGGATATCTGCTTGAAAAACACTGCACTTTCCATCCAAC